TAAAGGAAATGAGCTCCTACCGGTCCTTCAAATCCCCGACCCCCGAAAGTCGCGGCGCGTTAACGGCCGCGACTTTTTTTTTTAGCTGGGCGAGGTACTGGTGGTTTAACCACTAGTACCTCTGCCAGTGTTGGGAAATTACGAGTTTTTGCCAGTTCCCGAAGAATTCGGGGTGGGACCTAGGGTCGGCGAGTCCCATAAATCTTAGTTTTCTTTTGCCTGCACGTGAAAGGAAAAGGGGAAAAAAAGAAAAAAAGGCTTTCTGTACTGCAATGATGTCGGGCAGGGAAAAAAAAAAAAAAAAAGCTCTGTACTGCAATGATGTCGGGCAGGGTAAGTCTAGGAGGAGGCCGTGCTCACAGTCTTCCTCTACAGAATGCATCTTACAGCAAAGAGGTTCAACGAGCGAGGGCGGAGTAGGTGATCTGCTCTAGCTGTGTTTCCTGAGAGGATTGTAACTCTGATCACACTGGCACTTAGAGGAATGTATCCAGCCGTTTTCACGGGCGAATAAGTGTTTTCGTTTTTTTCCCTTGTTTTCTGTTTCTGGAATCTGACAATCTGAATCCGTGATCTGCTCGAGCTGTGTTTCCTCAGAGGATTGTAACCCTGATCACACTGGCACTGAATGTATCCAGCCATTTTCACGGCCGAATCCGTGTTTCCATTTTTCTGTTCTTGTTTTGTTTTTCTGGAATCTGACAATCTGGCCACGGGGCTGAGATGCCGTCACTGAGGGCACACTCACACTACCACTTCCCAGAATGTATACAACTGCAATCCCGCCCAGAGCTTTGTTTCTGTTTTCTTGTTTTCTTGTTTTGTCAGTTTCACGGCCGCAACTTTTCGTCTTTTTTTGTTTTTATGTTCTGCCCGCGAGAGTACCATAAAGAAAATGGAGTGGGACCCGGACTCGTCAAAACTGGGAGCGCTGTGAAATTCAGGGTCGGCAAAGACAGGCTTGGAGGTACTAGTGGATAAAAGAATAAAAATAAAAAAAATGGAATGACACAGAGAGAGAAGATTACCATGGCCGCCTGCGGCGCACTTAGTGCCAACGGACTGTGATAGTCCTCTGGATACCTCTGATCGGTATTAGCGGGGTCTATGACCAACACGGGTGTGAGTGTGAGCGCGAGCGGGTTGTGTGTGGTCTGTGGGAGAGTGTTGGCCATAGCCTCTGCTGCTACTAGATGAAGGGTGGGGGACGATGAGAAAGGGAGGCACAGGCTACTGGCAGGTCTCGGACTTTCTGTTAGCCAGACCCCCACTGGCGGCCCCAACCCTATACCCTAACCATTAGGGGCAAGGGGCAACATGAAATCTCCCCTTCACAGAGAGAGAAAAACTATGCTTGCAGGGGTCCTTAGGAGAAGGTAGTGGAAGGTAAACAAACGGAAGTTGAGAGAAGAATATAGACAGTTGTGATCACCCCAAGAAAAAAAAAAAAAAAAAAAAAAAAAAAAAAAAAAAAAAAAAAAAAAAAAAAAAAAAAAAAAAAAAAAAAAAAAAAAAACAAAAAAAAAAAAAAAAAAAAAAAAAAAAAAAAAAAAAGCATGGCCCCCATGCAAGGATGACACACGAGTAGAGAAATGGTCCAAATTAAAAAACAACAAAAACAACAAATTACTCCAAATCTATATTTGTGGCGAGCATCACATGCTGGGATAGGGTAGGAGGCTCATGTGTGTAGTTTGGAGAATGCCCTTCTGCCCTCTAGGTCTGCAGTGTGCTCATGTGGCCATGTCTGTTTTTTCTCGGAGGCGCTGGGACCGCCGGACCTTTAAATCTCCAGTGTGCATCTGGAGTCCCAAATCAACCAATGAATTTCCTTGATGTATAGCTGTGGGGTCCTGTGGAGCATAAGCCATAATAATAAGAAGGGGAAACTATGCGCGAGTCACAAAAAGGAGTTGTGATTGCACTATGGGCCAAGATACAGTATGGAAGTTTGGGCAATATATACAACCCAGCTTTCTAAGGGGCTCGTTAGACACTCCTCGGGGGTGTGTCCCGAGGAAAATTTTGTTCCACCTATCCCCAGGGATGAAAACGAAAAAAAGAAGTCACAACATTTCCCCAAAGGACCTCCTGAGGTCCTTCGGCGGTCAAGGATCCGCAATGATCGCAGCGGCAAGGGCACCCGTCATCGGCCATGGCTGGTGCATTGGAGTTCCTGCCGGGCAGCGCATGGACATCTTGGGTCATCAACGTTCAGATTCCAGGAACCTTGCGCCAACGGTAACCGTTGGTGGCCGGCCGGCCCCCGTGGACGTCGTCGACCAGTGTTCTCCCTCGCAGTGCGTGCAGCCAAACGGAAAGGGGTCGAACGGTCGGCAAATTAGAATACTTCAGCCGACCCCCCTTGATACGATTGCCCACTGTATTCCGTGACGAAAAACGCTACAAGGCGTTTGTCCCATGCCGCGGTCTGCTGTTTGCAGCCCTCTTCGTCACTGTTTGCTGGAGGTGTACCGTCTAGCTACTGCCCTTCCCTGCTTGCCTTTCATGGCCAACGTCTTTCGAAGGCTGCCGCTGCTGCTCCTGGTCATCCTTTTTTTTGTCCTTGTCGTCTTCTTCCACATCTGCATTCTTGGCCGGGTCCCTGGACGTACACGAAAGAGGCGGTCTGTGAAGAAGGATGTCAGCATGGACGGGCAGCAGGCGAAGAGCAGGTCTTCAGTGGACCACTCCAGAAGCCACCGCGCAGGCCACGGCCTGGATCGCAGTGCAAGGGCGTACGACCCGTTAGAGTGTGTGTGTTGTATGCTGTCGTCTATCGTCTGCTCCCTTCATTGTCGCCGTTCGGTGGACTTTCACCGTCGTCGTAGAATTATGGCCCTGTCGTACGTGTTGTTGATGGCCGACCTCTATTGAAGGTTGCCACTGCTGCTCCTAGACACAATTTGCTTGTCGTGGTCCTCCTGTTCCACGTGTGCTTCCTCTATCGTTGATGGCCGGCCTCTATCGAAGGCCTCCAGCAGAGAAGATGAGGGATCGACACTGACTGCAGTCGATATCGACATCAACAGCGCATCCTGCGGGCGTTCGTCCACACTGGATGCAATCGCCATCGCCCAAAAGACATATGGCGACATACGCAGTTTGCATCATCGCATTGCCTGAGATCCTCCCACGCCCCCCCCGTCCTCCTTTTAATCCACCGCCTCGGCGTTGCTCGTGGAAGAACATTGCAAACCATGGCGCAGCAAACCTGAACTGCAGCCTCGGTAATGGCCACGATATCCAACCCATCGACCGGGACTTGATGAAGCACATTCCTCCTCCTCGTGTGGATCTGCGATCTCAATTCTGCCCAATGCCAACCTCCTAAATAGAGCACTACAGCAAATAAAGATGAGACTAATAAGTTTAAGTATGAAGCAACATAAAAGATTCCAAATTTTATACCAGAATATTCAGTCTGATAACCTGCTACTAATTCTTCTTCAGCTTCTGGCAAATC